ATATAAAGAGTAAACTTAACATGAATTTGAGAATGTCACTTGAACTGCAGGAGGAGAAAGACTACTACCAGAATTCACTCCAGGTAATAGAAACGTTGCCCATACCAGTCGACATACTTCCAAAGAGGCCGTGTCGCGCTTCCGAAGCTTGCTTGGCCTTGCAGGACGCTCTCCCTGTGCATGACCAGATGGGTGTAAACAAATGTTTCACAGGCAACGGTGCGCCACGTTTTGCGCCGGAAGTTGTACGCGTCGATGCGGCCGTTGGCCTGCTTGAGGCGCAAGACCTCCTCGCCCTCCTCGCCATCCTCCACCGTCTCTATCTGGTTGGTCTCGAAGAACAACCGCAGGTCGAATCCTTCCCACGTGACCAGGCTGATCCTTTCCTTGAGCCGCCACCGCCAGCTCCCTCGGGGACCGCCAGGGTAGTCTTCGAGCACCCACACCTCCATCCACGCCTCCATGGTGCTGGAGGACTGCTCGACGGGGAAGAGGCAGAGCTTTCCGCCTGGCAGCACGCTGATCCGCGTCGTCTTTAGATGGAATGGTCGTCCATTGCGTTGCGGTGTCTCCAGTGACCAGAACTTCTCGCGCGTCGTGTCCAACGCGAGCAGCCGCACTGTCGACGTTCCCGACCCAATCCACTCTACCAGCCAATGCAGGTTGTCGTGTAGCCTAACGCAGCCAGGGCTTCTGTTCATAATGATCCTTGGAGGCGCCGCTTCTGCATCTGCAGAGCTCTCCTCCTGGAGGCGAAGCTCACGCCAGACAGCATCGCCGACCCTTAGAATCCGGAAGATAGTCGGGCAGAGACCGTGATCAGTTTCGCCGGAAGCATGCAGGAGGTGGAAGCGCCTCGTCTCCGGGTGCGCGTAGCCGCCGATGATGCCGCCCTCGCGTGAGGGCAGACCAATGGTTGCGCAGGCCATGGTGAGGGGGTTCCAGAGCACACACTGATGGATGCGGAAGCCGTTGCCATAACTAGGATGAGGTGGCCATTCCTTGCGCTGTAGGCACACCACCCCATCCCAGGAGCCCATGACCAACGTTAACAAAGGCGATGTGAAGCAGAGGGCGCGGGGGAACGGCGTTCTCTGCGGGCCGACGCCGGTGAAGTCGAAGATGATCACTCTGTTCACAGAGCGACACTGAATCCAGCCACCTTCAACGCCATGGTGTTCGATTTTGTGTTCAGCCGTGATCTTGGCGACGGCGGTCGGCCGACTGGAGTGGACGCGGTCGAAGATCGGGTGGGATATGGCGGAGCGCCAGGCCCTGCACACGGCGCGGCAACCGGCGATGTAACGGGCCGGCAGGCGGACGAGGATCTCCACGAGCACGTCGTCCGGCAGAGGCGGGACGGTGGTGTCCATGGTGAAGGCGGGTGAAGATCGATCGTATCGGAAGGGAGAATCGGGAGTTTGAGCTGTCTTTAGATGCCACGATTTTAGTAAACGGAAACCCGAAGGCAAACTGATTTCCTAAAATCTAGACATCCGAACAACCCTGCACAAAGACGGCGCTCAAACCCTACCGTTTGGGGATAATTAAAGTTAGGGAATGGAAATTAAAGGGGTATGAGACTTTAAATTTATTGTTTGGTTGAAGGAACTGGGAATTTATAAGGGAATAGTCATAAAAGTTGAGACTCTAATTTCCATCGTTTTATTAACATGTGAGGGGTTGGGAGTTGAGAGGGAATTGTTTTAGTGAATCAATCTTGACCATTCATTATAACTTATTTTAACTTTTATTGTCTAGTCTCTTGTCAATTCCCACTAACCAAACAAGAGAATACAATTTGTCCTTAATTCTCACACATAATTCCTATCATGCTCCAAACAAAGGATTGGAAATAAAACGACTCATCCCATGTCTAATTTCAATTTAACTCCCTATTCTAAACTCTCATTCCTCTTTCCAAATATTGCCAAACACGTTGTATTGTCCAGGCCTCCAGAGTACAAACACCCCCATCCTCCTTCCAGTACGACCCCCATCCGCCTTTTACCATGGACGCCCTCCCACATCTATCGGACGACGTGCTTGTGGAGATCCTCATCCGCCTGCCCGCCCGTTACATCACCGGCTGCCGCGCCGTGTGCAGGGCCTGGCGCTCCGTCATGCCCCACCCGAACTTCGACCGCGCCCACGCCAGACGCCCCACCGCTGTCGCCAAGGTTGCGGCTCGCCACGAGTTGTACTGCTATGGTCTCGAAGGTAACTGGTTACTGCATTGTCTACGTACTAGAGTCATCGTCTTCGACTTCATCAGCATCAGCCGGCAAAGAACGCCGTTCCCCCGCGCCCTCTGTTCCCCCGCGCCCTCTGGTTTACATCGGCCTTGTCGATGATGGTCGTGGGCTCCTGGGACGGCGTGGTGTGCCTAGAGCGTGGCGAATGGCCACCCCATCCTCGTGATCGCATCCACCTCCACGTCCATCAGTATGTGCTCTGGAACCCCCTCACCATGGCCTGCGCAACCGTTGGTCCTTCGCCGGCTCGCGAGGGCTGTATCATTGGCGGCTACGCGCACCCGGAGAAGAGGCGTTTCCACCTCCTGCACACTTCCGGGACTGGCCGGTGTTTCCTTCTAAGGGTCGGTGTGGGAGTTCCGAATTAGGGGGTCTCCGGACAGCCGGACTGTTGGACTATGAAGATACAAGATTGAAGACTTCATCTCGTGTCTGGATAGGACTCTACTTGGCGTGGAAGGCAAGCTAGGCAATACGGATATGTATATCTCCTCCTTTGTAACCGACCTTGTGTAACCCTAGCCCCCTCCGCTGTCTATATAAACCGGAGGGATTTTAGTCCGTAGGACAACAGACAATCATACCATAGGCTAGCTTCTAGGGTTTAGCCTCTACGATCTCGTGGTAGATCAACTCTTGTAATACTCATATCATCAAGAATAAATCAAGCAGGACGTAGGGTTTTACCTCTATCAAGAGGGCCCGAACCTGGGTAAAACATCGTGTCTCCTGCCTCCTGTTACCATCCGCCTTAGACGCATAGTTCGGGACCCCCTACCTGAGATCTGCCGGTTTTGACACCGACATTGGTGCTTTCATTGAGAGTTCCTCTGTGTCGTCGCCGTTAGGCTTGATGGCTCCTACTATCATCGATAGTGATGCAGTCCAGGGTGAGACTTTTCTCTCCGACAGATCTTTGTGTTTGGCGGCTTCGCACTGCGGGCCAATTCGCTTGGCCATCTGGAGCAGATCGAAAGTTACGCCCCTAGCCACCAGGTCAGATTTGGAAGCTTAAATTACATGGCCGATATCCGCGGAGACTTGATCTTCGACGGATTCGAGCCCCTGCCTTGTGCGCCACGCGGTCACGATGAGTACGATTTAGCTCTACTATCGGACCGTATTCAGGAGATCACACCAGCAGCCGCTCTGAGCCTCAATTCGGAGCCAGTTGCGCCATCCATGGACGGGTGGATAGACCCCGTCACGGAGGCCGTATCCTCAGCGGTGATCTAGCCGAATATTGACCTTACCCTTCACGGGAGCCGTGCTGCCAAACTGCCGGATACTTCTCCGGCCACGGACTCCGAACCGTCTGCGCCCGTTCCTATCGAATCCGATTGGGCACCGATCATGGAGTTTACCTCCGCGGATATTTTTCAGCACTCGCCCTTCAGCGACATACTGAACTCATTAAGGTCTCTCTCCTTGTCAGGAGGATTCTGGCCGAACTATGTCCGGCGGGATTAGGATGCGAATGACGAAGAAATTCGCCGCCCACCCACCCACTTAGTTGCCACTGTCGACGACTTAACCGACATGCTCGACTTCAACTCCGAAGACATCGACGGTATGGACGACGATGCGGGAGACGAAGAGGAACCACTGCCCACAGGGCACTGGACAGCCACCTCATCATACGATATATACATGGTGGACACACCCAAAGAAGGCAATGGCGACGAGACAACAGAGGATGACCCCTCCAAGAAGCAACCCAAGCGCCGGCGTCAGCGGCGTCGCTCTAAGTCCCGCCAAGGCAAAAGTGGTGATACCGGCACCGGAGATAATAGCACTCCGGACAGTGCCGAAGACAACAACAATCCCCTCCAGTAAGATTTAGAGCAGGAGGATGGAGGAGCCAACCCTCCTGAGAGAGCGGCAGATGGAGAGGCGGAGGATGATAATTACATGCCTCCCTCCAAAGACGATGCAAGCCTCGATGATGACGAATTCATTGTGGCAGAGGATCCCGTCGAACAAGAGCGCTTCAAGCGCCGGCTTATAGCCACGGCAAATAGCTTTAAGAAAAAGCAGCAACAGCTTCAAGCTGATCAAGATTTGCTAGCTGACAGATGGACTGAAGTCCTGGCAGCCGAGGAATATAAACCCGAACGCCCCTCCAAGAATTACCCAAAGTGCAGGTTGCTACCCCGACTGGAGGAGGAAGCACTGAAACCTACATCCCCGGCGTATGACACGGCCGGCTGATGGCCACCTCGTGGCCGCGACAGAGAGGCATTCCAGCCAAAAGCTCAGCCCGCACCCTGACGCCATTCAAATAAAAAGGCATGGAGAAATACGCCAGACCTACGAGACATATTGGAGGACAAAGCAAAACATGCAAGATCGATCTACGGATCATGAGGGCGCGCCACTATGCGAGACGATAATCGTCACGCCGGATACAGTAAAAATAAGTCCGGCCGGGCCGAACACAGCAGGCAAGACTCATTCGAGCTGCGTCGCGACATAGCCCAGTACAGAGGCGCCGCACACCCCTTATGCTTCACAGACGAAGTAATGGATCATCAAATCCCAGAGGGTTTCAAACCCGTAAATATAGAATCATACGACGACACAACAGATCCTGCGGTATGGATCAAGGATTTCCTCCTGCATATCCACATGGCCCGCAGTGATGATCTACACGCCATTAAATACCTCCCACTCAAGCTCAAAGGACCAGCTCAGCATTGGCTCAATAGCTTGCCAGCAGAGTCCATTGGCTGTTGGGAGGATCTGGAAGCCGTATTCCTCGACAACTTCCAGGGCACTTACGTGCGACCACCAGATGCCGATGACTTGAGCCACATAATTCAGCAGCCAGAGGAATCGGCCAGGCAATTCTGGACACAGTTCCTAACAAAGAAAAATAAAATCGTTGACTGTCCGGATGCAGAGGCCCTAGCAGCTTTTAAGCACAACATCCGTGACGAGTGACTCGCCCGGCACCTTGGTCAGGAAAAGCCGAAATCTATGGAAGCCCTCACGACACTCATGACCCGCTTTTGTGCGGGAGAAGACAGCTGGCTGGCTCGCAGCAATAACATATCAAAGAACCATGGTACTTTGGATACCAAGGATGGCAATGGCAGGTCACGTCACAACAAACATAAGCACCGCATTAACAGCGACAATACCGAGGATACGACAGTCAATGCCAGATTCAAAGGCTCTAAACCCGGTCAGCGGAAAAAGCCATTCAAAAGAAGCACTCCGGGCCCCGTCCAGTTTGGACCGTATACTCGATCGCTCGTGTCAAATACACGGCACCCCCGACAAGCCAGCCAACCACACCAACAAGGATTGTTGGGTGTTCAAGCAGGCCGGCAAGATAAATGCCGAAAACAAAGATAAGGGGTCACATAGCGATGACGAGGAGGAGCCCCGGCAGCCGAACACCGGAGGACAGAAGAGGTTCCCCCCACAAGTGCGGACGGTGAACATGATATACACAACCCACATCCCCAAGAGGGAGCGGAAGCGTGCGCTTAGGGACGTATATGCGCTGGAGCCAGTCGCCCTAAAGTTCAACCCATGGTCTTCCTGTCCAATCACCTTCGACCGCAGGGACCACCCCACTAGTATCCGTCATAGCGGATTCGCCGCATTGGTCCTGGACCCAATCATTGACGGATTTCACTTCACTCGAGTCCTTATGGATGGCGGCAGCAGCCTGAACCTGCTTTATCAGGACACAGTGCGCAAAATGGGTATAGACCCCTCAAGGATCAAAGTCACAAAAACGACATTTAAAGGCGTCATACCAGGTGTAGAGGCCCATTGCACAGGCTCAGTAACACTGGAAGTGGTCTTTGGATCTTCGTATAACTTCCGAAGCGAAGAGTTAATCTTCGACATAGTCCCGTTCCGCAGTGGCTATCATGCACTGCTCGGGCGAACCACATTTACGAGATTCAATGCGGTACCGTATTATGCATATCTCAAGCTCAAGATGCCAGGACCTCGGGGGGTCATCACAGTCAATGGAAACACAGAGCGCTCTCTCCGCACGGAGGAGCACACTGCGGCCCTCAGAGCAGAAGCGCAAAGCAGCCTCTTAAGGTAATCCACTAGTTCGGCGATTAAGGACCCGGACACCTTCAAGCGCGCCC